AAAAGAATTGGACAGTTTGTTTCAATGATTGGGAGAATCTTGCAGTGATGGCTAGATTGGCACCAGGTGGATATGTCAAGATCATTGCTGGACATGACCAAGATCTTGGTCACTGTGAACAGCGTGATGTAACTTGGGCAATCTACGAGATTTGTTTTGGAGAAACAAGGCCTCGTCAAGATTTCAAGGATGCAGACTTTGAATTTGATGACTATGGTCCTGAGAACAAGCGTGTTCCACTTACTCGAGCGAACATGCATACCATCAGAGTCTGTAATTATCATGTTGATACACACCGTGCTGTGGATGCCCACCTACTGACAGGAGAACAGACAGCATTGATGCTTTACGAGTGTTTTGTCTATGAGGTGGACATCATTTCTGGTGATGCAAATAGTTTGGCCTACAGAATGTCTGGGTACAAAAGGCAGCCAATGGCTAACTACTATTACAGCACCATGCAGCATTGGATCCGCAGGTTTTCAGAAGCCCGTGTAAAAGCAGATCCTGGTATCAAAGCACCTATTCCCAGAACATTTTATAGTTCAACTTCACAGGTCCTCAAGAAGTGTGAAGTTTACTTTGATAAACTCTGGGAAGAATATTCTACTGTTGAAAAAGAAGAATACCAAGGATCACAGCTTGGCGATACATGTTTGTCTACCATTGTTGAATGGGGTCATTCAATGAGTGAAGAGGAATATGAAAATTCCACAGTGAGCACGAAGGAGTTCATCTGTAATTTTTCAGAGAACTTTGCTATGATTGACACAGAGGTTATGTGCTCAAGGCCCACTGACGAGGACAGTCATGGTCCAATGTTTATTTCACTCAGACCAGCTTCCCTTTCATCTGGAGACAGAAGACAGTATCGCATGGGAGCAACGCTTCATGAGGCGAACGTGCGGAGGAAGGAGAGACAAAAGCAGAATAGAAGGAAAGGAAGGCCGCCAACTTCTGATCAAGCAACTTCATCGTTTGCAGCGGCATAATTCCTGAGCGAAGGCTGAAATTTAAATGATGGCTAGGAAGTGAAGATACTTCTGGTTACAGTTGATACTTTGCTTCCAGGCTTGACTTTAAGTTGCCAGGCTGAAGTTTTAATAAATTCTGGTTTGCAATGAGGAGAAACTTTTTATCAAAGAAGATACTCCTGCATTCCAGGTTTATACGCTTTAGCATGTAGATAGGTATGGACAGTTTTGCATAACTGATGATATCTATCACAGTCGCTTTTCTGAGATGACCTCTAATGGACAACCAGTCATGGTTGATGATTAAGTCATTTCATGATTTGCAATTGTAGTGCAAGATTTTTTTTGTACATACATTTGCCGGTATCTCCTTCTTGTGTTTTTGATGTGAATGTGAAAGAGAGTCCTTTTGATGCAGTTTATTTTGTCTGTGAATGAAAGCGGTCGAGACCACGTCACGAGAAGATTATTCCTCGGACCGTACGCTCCTTGCATTTTGCAAGGCATCTTAATTCATTGCAATTTGTGCGGTCTTGAATTTTTAGTTCTTTGTTACGCGAGTGTCGTTTGATTCTTTTATAGGTCTTTGTAGAGAAAAAGCCGCTTTCCCTTTTAGTTTGATTTAGCTCAGGCCCTAAAGAGCTAGTGAGCGCCGGTACATGGTATCTCCGCCTGCGAAAAGTACAGTCTCCAGCCGAGGTACATTATCGATTTGATTTTGTACTTGAGGTGAGTCAGCTATTGCTCCCTCACTGTATTTAGTAGCTATGAGATTACCTTCTCTGAAGTGTGAAACACACTGGATTAGGTAAGTACATGGCACCGTAGTTTTCTTTTAAGTTGTCAGAGCTAGCTGGACTGATTTAGCCTTGCAGTAGAAAAGAGTATGCGACATACGCAATCAGCTAGAAGTGGACATGAATCTTGTGCCTGCTGAAAAGTAGAGCCTGCCTGTACAGGGTTCCACTCCAACAGCTGATATAGTGTGTCCATGCTTGACTGCTCAAGGCTCAAAGAGCAAGAGGATAAGACTCTGCGCATAAAAGACACTAGCGGTCTGCACCTCTACCGTGTACGCCCTAGTCACTCTTTCACCCCCCCCCCTCCCTACCCCCAGGCCTCCGTTGCTATCCCACCCGCTACTCGGGAAACAGAAGGAAATCGCACTCAACACACTTGTGTGTTGGTGCCTTTCCTTCTGTTTCTCCTAGCTATTGCTAGCTACCCGGGCGGTTTAAGACGAATGTCCCGCTCGCCTTCTACTTTCGTTTAACTAAGTGGGCCTCGTAACTACCCTACTTTTCTTTCTTGCCCTCTTAGTCTGCTCTTGTTTCGTTGCTTTTTCTGTCTTTCTAAGGCTTTTTAGGTGTCTACTAGTTCTTCGTTGCGTCAACAATTTGGCGCTTTTTGTACAAATGTTCCCCTGGGAGTTAGGACGCTACTGGAGGCCCCTGGCCTTACTACTACTTTGACCGCGCCGAAAATGTGTGTCCACCCCTGGGCAAAAGGTTTTCGTCCACTGGTTCAGCGGTAGGGGGTGTCTTGAAAAAGCGCCGAAGCCGGCGACTTGTGTGTGTCCACCCCTGGACAAAGGGTTTCCTTCGACCACTCCAATCAGGCAGGGGGGCCAGGCCTGTCACATCCAACCTGGCCCAACGAAGCTAGGATGTGACAGGGGAAGCACCAAAGGACGCTTTGGTGTGTACCTGCCGATTTCTCCACAAGCTGTGACTCCACTTTCCACGTTTTTGGTTCATGGTTCTTCATGATACTTCCCCAAAACCTTCCCTTTGCCGCGTTTGTCTTGCAGCTGAGCCGCGCCGACCGATCGTTCAGCAGACTTGACCAACAACTTGTTGAAACACCTACAAGTCTTTCGGACTCTTCACCATGCAGTTCTGTCACCTTCCTTCCCAGCGTGGTAACTGAGTTCACTGAATACAAGTGTCAGAGTGTGCATGTGCATGTTACATATCATATATACATATATCTATTTTTATGTATATATACAGTGACAAATGTATGTATATATATACACACATACATGTATATATACAGATGTATGTATATATACACACACCTTAAACTCAGCCCCGCGCAAGACAGATTTGGCCAAGTGCACATGCTTCATTCTTCTGAACTGTCGACGGGTGATGTTCAAAACGTTCAAAAAAAGAAGGGGTTCATTCACCCTGTCACCCAGAGTTAGCTTTAGCATCGCCCTGATTAGTCACCCTGTCATCAAAGAACCACCGCCTGCCTCTGCGTTGCGCACAAAGATCACGAAGGCTAAAGCGACAAAGGCCTGCTTTGCTGAGTTGGCTCACCACGAAGTGGGCCGAGTGGGAAACCTCTGGAATGGTCCTTTTTGGGCGGATCACATTGAACTACACCGGCGAAGACCACAGATAGCAACTAACTCTTAAATCGAGCCCGTCACCAAAAGAGATCCAGAGAAGTGGGAGACAAGTAAGAAGACAAGGCGGCAGCGGCAAACACAACGCCAGTGGGAGACAAGGTAGCAGCGGCAGTGATGCCCCCCCACCACGCCGCTCAGCCACCCAGTCACTGAGAAGTAAGAGCCACCATAGTTGTCAGTGTTCAGCTATCTGGGGGAAATGTGTTATATAATATATGTGATATTGTGGGTAAACTATCAGAAATCTCAACCCTCAATAAAATATGTCAAAGCACGATGCCATAGCCCTTTGTGGTTTCTATGTTTGGTCCCTTTATAGAGACGCAATCTTGTTGCAGTCTCTGTGTGCCAGCTTTTCCTTGCCCCGCCCTTCAAACATCTTTGCAACCCTTTTTCATGTCCGCCGGTGCCTGTGGCCCGACCCCAAATCCCTTTTCAATCCGGTTGCAGTCGCTGTGCACAAGTCGCATCAGGCTTACTTAATTTACTTTTACACAACAGCAATCATGTATGGCTTCGGTATGCTTCGGTTATATGCTATCATCCTTTTTCATGTCCGCCCGGACAAGTGGAGACAAGGCAGCAGCTGCAAACAAAGTGCCGATCACAAAGGCAGGACACCGTGTCACCTAAGCAGACAAGTGGGGAGACAAGGCCGCAGCGACAGGCAAAGTGCCAATGCTTAGAGGCAAACAAGTGTCGGAGACAAGGAAGGTGCCTCAGTGATCGGACACAGGAGATGCCAAGCGCGCCTTCGCCCATGGAGCAATCGCAGCTTAGTTCACACCAAGCGCAAGTTGACCGGAGCCATGAGTTGATTCGGGAAACCAACCAACGGGCGCACGGCTCGCCTGTCCTCTCTCTAATTAAGGTGGCAATGAAAACAGACGAGATTGAAAAGTAGCATGATTGAACTACTTCCCTCTCTGTTTCACGCCCAATTGGAGAATCTTTTGCGACCGGGGCTGCCTGCGGGGAGAGCGAGGCTATGGTCCCTGGCTGTACTTCTTGATACTTCTTGACAAAGGGGGTCTCCAACTGCAGAACAGCTGCTGCTGCAGCTTTTATATACTAGTAGCTTCTTGTTCTTAATAGCGATGGCCTCCAACCTACTTGCGATGGCCTCCACCTAATAGCGTCCTTATACAAGGCTGGGTAGACCGGTTGCCCTTGGGCGCCCAACGGATCCAGGCGCGATGATGAAGAGGATGATCTCCTCTCAGACGCAGCGGTGGACGGAACGGACGTACCGCCCACGTCGGTTCCATCGACCATCCCACTCGACCCTCCCACAGCGGTGGACTGGACGTGAAGATCACCGTCCCATCGAGGAAAACGTACGAAAGAGGTGATTGAACACATGATGTCGAGACCTGAACCTCGCACACACACGACCTTGCTCTTGCCAACCATCACAATCCGCTCCATCAATTCGACGTGAACAAATACCGAAAAAACAAGCATGACGCAAAGTCCAGCCAAGAGACCGCATCAAACAAGAATATGGAACAAATATGCAATGTACTTCACAATTCATCTCCAGCAATTGCCGAGCCCCCGGTGCCCTCCCCAATCGAACTCCCTCGCGAGAGAGAGTCCATCTTTTTGCACTCGCTCGGTGTGGACTCAAGTGACAGAGAGACGGAGGAGTGCCCCGGAGTCGACGTTCGGTCGACCGGTTTTGGGGCGTTGCCGGGGCGGCGAAGGCGAATGCCATAGGCCCGGTCAAGAGTTCGAGCTGTCCATGTAGCACTTTTAGGACCATCACGAAGCCAACAACTGTTTGCAGTACTGCCTAGCTGGCATACCTGATGCGAAGGTGGGGGCACCTAGCTGTTCAAGTATTAACCAAAATGTGGTGTAAACGTGTCTGTGTAGAGAAGCAAAGTCCCAAACTTAGGTCTGCCTAATTGCCAAGGGTCCCTTGACGGCTTGTCTCGTCCTTCCTCGCACCATTCGAGATTGGAAGGCCTAGCCTGGAATCCAATCCCGCCGTCTTCTCTTGTCTTCAGCCTTCCTCGCTGACCTGCGGGTCGAATCATTTCTGGCAGAACGTGGGCTCGCCCAGTTCGAGGACCAATCCGCCTTGAACCTGGTCCTTTGCGTGGCTTGCGCACCTGGTCCTTTCCTTGTCGCTCCTCTTTGCGCCATTTCAGGGCCATGAGAACCCTTTTGTAGTACTGCGCAGAAATGGTGTATATGTCAATATGTATACGTATATGTATACATACGCACAATATTGAGATGTTGTAAAAGAGATGGAACACTCAACAAATCGGGATTTGCAGGCATCCGCTGCGAAAACGCGAAAGACGACAAAAAAGGGCAAAAACAGCGAGATCCTGGACAACAGGCGACAACACAAAAACCGCAAAAAGGCGAAACTGGCTAAAGGCGCAAAAACAACGAGATTGGGGAACACCGGCGACAACGCGACAACGCGAAACACATGCCGTCCCTGGAGCCCTTTGCATCAATTTCTTCAACTTTCCCTTTTTGACGCACAAACATGTTTGGTTGGAATTGCCACGTTGTTCAACCCTTCCAAAATGCCGAATTCGGTCAGCGATGCCTCATGGTGCCACGTTTTCTGTCTCGTTTTGGCCGGTCGGTGCCACCTGCACTTCACCGTCTTTTCGTACCAAACATGCGTCAAAGAAATGAAGGACCCCGCCTACGTTCGATGGGGCCAGCGGCCCTCGGGTGGCTCCCTCTCAATCAGCAAACAAAATCCTTGTTCATACCAGGAGTCACATGTCGGGGTGGTGTTTGGTCCCTAAGTGAGTGGATGTTCTGGGCACCCCTATCCTCCATTAAGCACCCCTGCTGGTATAGAGCCTTTTTGTGAAATTCATTGAGCCAGGCTCTAGGCCTCAATTGATGTTCTACAGATCACTGGTCAAATACTCGCAAACCCCTGGATGAACTTTGAGCCGTGTCCTCGTCCCGGGCCCCTAACCTTAAATGCCCCCAGAGTCGTAGCCCGCAGTTACTGCCAGCTTTTCCATCAGCTTCATGTGTTTTGATCAACCCTTTTCGTCAACCCAGCCCTTAGGCATGCTCCCAACAGAACGGGCACTTTGTAACAATAAGTAGGAGGACCTCTGACAAAGAGCATGACATGTGCTTCAAATCAGTCTTGCTCAAATGTAGGGATGTGATAAGTCGAATGATGTCTTGCTGAACATTCAGACATCAGGGCTCTGCGGATGTTGGTGGATGATACATGGCTTTGCACCTCCTGCGAATACACTCCTTTTCAAGAGACATCGTGAAAACTGCCTTTGGGCAAACCTTGCCTCTTGGAAGCAATCGGCAACCAACAAAGACCAGCAGGCTGGGCAAAGGTTCTATTAAGAAGCACCTGCGCTGCTGCGTTTCGGCCGTGCCAAATACCGGCCCTTATCATCCATCCACAAGGCTCAGCTAGAGCTCAGCACGCTCAATGACTGTCTAATGGTGAATTAAACCGGCACATTGCGTTAAAACACTTTAAAGAGCTGCTCCCCTCAGGCCCAAGCCCGGTTGTTGCCCTATTTTCGGACAAGAATGGGAGGGAACAGCGGGAACAGCAGCAAATGGCTGAGAAAATTCGCGAGCCAGCATGTCATGATATGTCATAATCTGCTATGTTCACTCGAGCTCATTTGCATTGATATGCAGTTGGAGGGACGTCCTACACACAATTGCAGGCACTCACTCTAGAGCTGGTTCATGACCAGGGTCCTCACATCCTGTTGCTTTTCCAAAGCAATGCTGCACCTATCATCGTCGGCCGCATCAAGGTTGAAAGTACTTGATGTTGACACGCGTGTTGTGCAACCTGCCAACTGGTGACAGAAGATCCCAGTATTCCCAAAATTTGAAAACAAAACTCGGTGCAACTTGGTCAGCAGGGTAGCCGTGTTCAGCAAACTGCAAAGTACAAACTACATTCAAGCCCTGGACTGTAGTAGATACTGGCGCAACATTGCTGTTTTCGATGATCCAGTGACTTGGAAATTAGCTTGATTTAAAAACAAGCAATCTTAGGAACAACCAAAACGAACATCAATGTCATCTTTGCAGCAACCAACGGTCAAATCGGCCAAGTAGACCCTTATACTTATTCGAGTGCTGCGGGGTGTACACCTAACTTGATTCATAAATGCACCGGGCCACTGTCCAACTTCAGAAAGGGCGGTCCTTTGCGCTGCAATCTATGATACACAATGTTCTGAACAATCCGAAATCCATTCAGCAAAACCAGGGCCTGAAACAATCGTAAAACGTGCAACTACTCTTGCTGCTTAAAATATGCAAACCTTTTGCATCGCTGATGCGAAGGCTCCCCTTGCAAAGAGCACTGACTCTATTGGAACTTGCTACTCTCAACTAATCGCTGCAAGGATTGGGCATAGGTTCAAGGTACAGAAGCACTTCTACCATAGTCACCTAATGCCATTCTCATTCAGGAAAACTCTCTTATGATCCGTTTCCGCCGTGAAACAGAAGGAAGGGATATGATGCGAACGGACCATCCACGTGACTTCAAAGTCACTGGCACGACTTCGGAAAAGAAACACAGTGTGTAGTTGCCGTTGTTCATGGCTAGGACAGATTGTCTACAAAGATCTCAAACATAAACAGATTACCCACTATATATGTTTTTATCTGTACTGTATGATTTTATATTTATGTAACAATTAATGAGGAATATTGTATATACAATCAGGGCCCACCAGTTGGAAACTGATCTGCAAGCCGAATTGCGGTCTAATTTTGTTTGGACCTAAAATGCAAAAACAAAACGTTGCAAAAACCCATTCAAAGGAGGCGTTCTTTTGAGAATTGGCAGGACCTGCTTTGGTCGCCCTGTTGTCTTGCAACCCCTCCCTTGGATGACCGCAAGCAACGTTTTTTCCCTTTGCGGGACTGCAGGAACCACAGGTTGAGTGAAGAACGAAAAGTGCGCCAAATCTTGCGCAGCGGCAAAATAAGACATTTGAGGTCACCAAATGTTGCGCCTGCCACGAAAAATGAAAGCAAAGGTATACCAAATGCTGCGCATGCCATGAAAAGTGAACACATAGATTCACCAATTACTGCGCCTGCCACGAAAATTGAAACTACAGGTTCACCAAATGCTGCGCATACCACGAAAAATGACAACTTCAAATGCAGCGGTGTTATTATGAGACAATCACTTACATTGCGTTTCACGAATTCAGCGGCAAGCCAGCGCGGGCACACGAAAACGCAAAATCATAACGTTGTAATCCAACGTTACGATCCGTTTTTGGCGACAGTTTCACAAAACAGTGAAAATACTAACGTTGGACGCGGTTAAAAAAATCACATGGTCTATTTTTAAAACGCGTCCAACGTTACGATTTCGACTTCTGCCCCATGCCTGCCACGTAAAACGAGCATAACGTTGGATTCCAACGGATTGCAACGTTACGATTAAGCGTTTCGCCACACGTTTGGCCACCTGGAGCTTCAAATTCTTTGCGCCTGCCACGAAACATGAAAGCTGAGATTGGCCAGATGCCGCGCCTGCCACGAAAAATGGAAACAGCGGTTCACCAAATGTTACACCTGCCACGAAAAATGGAACTAGAAGTGTGCCAAATGCTGCGCCTGCCACGACAAATGGAAAGTTCACCAAACGCTGCGCCTGTCACAAAAAATGGATTTAGAGGTCTACCAGATGCCTGAACTTTATACTCGAGTGTTCAATAAGATTGTTTCCACGCCCGTCACGCACTGCCACGTTCAACGCCTGTATTTGGGAGCTTGCTTCTGGGCCCTCAACAACTGGTGGTTTTGGCTTCAGCATGGTGTACCCTCACAGTGCTGGAGATTTGCAATTTGCAACGGATGCCTTGCAGCAGCCGCCCTTCTACCAATTGGGGCGCATTCTGTTGATGCTTGCTCAATGATATTACAGGCTCAAGCCCAACTGCATGCCAGCGCTAGGCTACAGCCGCCCAGCTTGCTGCTCTCCCAAGTGTTCCTGATGATGACCCCATTGCCTGCAGTCACTTGGAGTGCTTCCACAAAATTCTACAAGCTGATGGGAGAACTTATGGCGGGGCTCGGATGCAATTTACTTCTTGTTTTTGTTTGGTATTTTTTCGTGTTTCGTGGCCGGCGCAGTACTTTGTGGACCTTGAAGTGCAGATTTCGTGGCAGGTGCAGGACTTTGTGGATGTTGAAGTGCAGCTTTCGTGGCAGGTGCAGGACTTTGTGGGTGTTGAAGTGCAGATTTCGTGGCAGGTGCAGGACTTTGTGGGCCTTGGAGAGCAGATTTCGTGGCAGGCACAGTACTTTGTGGACCTTGAAGTGCAGATTTCGTGGCAGGTGCTAGATAGCTAGATAGATAGACAGATAGAAAGATCAACAGATAAATGGATCGATAGATACATAGATAGATAAGAAAGAAAGATAGATAGATAGCTAGCTAGGTAGATAGATAGATAGATAGACAGACAGATAGATAGACAAACAGATAGATAGATAGAAAGAAAGATGGATAGATAGAAAGATAGAAAGGTAGAAAGAAAGATAGATAGATAGATAAATCGATAGATAGATTAGTTAGTTAGTTAGTTAGTTAGATAGATCGGAAAGAAAGATAGATCGGAAAGAAAGATAGATCGGAAAGAAAGAAAGAAAGAAAGGAAGCAAGGAAGGAAGGAAGGAAGGAAGAAAGACAGGCAGACAGACAGACAGAAAGAAAGAAAGAAAGACAAAAGAAAGAAAGAGATAGATAGATAGATCGATAGACAGACAGATAGATAGATAGGTAGATCGAGAGATAGACAGATAGATCGATAGACAGACAGACAGACAGCCAGCCAGGCAGACAGACAGACAAACAGACAGACAGAGAGAGAGAGAGATAGATAAGATGAGATAAGATAAGATAAGGTACGATACGATAAGATTAGATTAGATTAGATTAGAAAGAAAGAAAGATAGATAGATAGATAGATAGAGATAGAGATAGAGATAGATAGATAGATAGATGTAGACAGATAGATATAGACAGATAGATGGATAGGTAGACAGATTTGGGAGCTGTCGTAGCTGGCATAATACATTGGAATAGTGTAGGTGTCAGAGAAATTCCTACCTATCACAACAGCTTGGTGCAGTTAGCAGAGAAACAGCAAAGAGAAAAAGAACTAGCACAGAAGGCATATTTGCTTGGTTAGAAATTGTTGCACTGGGGAGTTCACCTTAAAATATTGATTTCGTGGCAGGTGGCCTCCGACTTGACATTCCTCCAAAGATGGACTAGTAGCAAACAGCCAGAAGCCACGAGAGCAACGAAAGCCAAACGCCACAAAAAGCCACAGAAGCCACGGGAGCCACGAAAGCCAAGAAAGCCAAAAGCCACAGAAGCCACGAAGGCCAGAAGCCACGAAAGCCAAGAAAACCAAAATCCGCAGAAGCCACGAAAGCCACCAAAGCCAAAAGCCACAGAAGCCAGAAGCCACGAGAAACAAAAAAGTCCTAAAATAAGACAAGCAAATCCTAAATTAAATGGCCCTCCCTTATGACGGGCAGCTTTCTACCGGTGAAGCTCGTTCCCTTCTGCTGTGGACATCCTTGCAGCCCTGAATCTTTTTGCAACTCCCGAATGCAAAAATTGCGCAAAACGGTCCTCACAACCGGCGCCAAAATCGAGGCTGAAATCCGGGCGCCATTTCTCTTCCACTGCCATAATGCGGCCAACATTTTGAGCCCTCCTGGCGGCCTCGCTTTCTGATCCTCTTTTGTGAAATTTTCGCCGCCTGTCCGCCCATCCTTCCGGCATTGAGCAACCTGTGCGTGGGCCACGCATGTACGTTGGCGGCAATGCTTCCGGGCATGTCTGCCACGCTACTGCATGGTCTATCTTTGCCGTTGCCCTTTGTTGCTGTCGCGTAGTCAAACAGCTTCCTACGCGTGTGTTTCTGTTGCAAACTTGCCTGGGCGCAATAATAGCACATCCAAGTTTGCGGGCACAATTTTTTTGATAAGACTTCTATCCAACAAACCCAAATCAGTCATCATTGGAGGTGTGCAGTGGACGCCGCGACATCACTAGCCTGCACGCTTGCTTGCTGACACAAACACACACAGTATATACATAGTTACGTAGGTTCTTTTGAGTGATTGGGGGCCACACTTGAAAACCGAATACTATCCAGCAGCGAAAACAAATAAAAGTACCTCGGCTAACAACGCACCAGGATGCATCATAAGAGACCATTAAAGAACTACTGAGAACATCAATTCTTCCTGCTTCAACCCCCCAACCATCCCCAACCACCTGGATTGGCTTCCAAATCGTTTCCATCCACTTCCACTTCTGCGTCTTGTCCATCTTCCTTCCTGGTCAGTGGCTCATCATCATCATCAAAGTGCAACGCGGAGTTGGATTTTCGGAGCTCCGTGGCAATCCTGTCGATCGTCGCCGGCCGGCGGCCGACTCCACCGGCGCCGGCGAACGAGACGCCGAGTTGGGCCGTGGGTCATGGCACCGAGTAACAAGGATGCTACGAACGGAGCCAAGGGTATCGCTACGAACGGAGCGTTCGGACGCTAGAAAAACCTGGCTCCTGGCCGTACTACTACTAGTAACTATACGAGTAACAAACTAGAAACTCTTGTTTTTCGCGCTGAACATGCAACAGAATCGATGAAAGGAGGCGAACCTAGCAGGGTCAACCAGGCTCCGGGTTTTGACTTGTGTACCCACTTCTCTGCGCCGATTCTCACCACGAGACCCGATTCCGATTCCTCGATGGTGGAGGCGCCTCAGACAAGTCCCGTCCGGGCGTCGTTTTCACCGAAACCTCGTCTTGGCCTGGGGAATGGTTGTGCATCTGCATCTCACGTTTGAACCCTCAAGCGATGTCGTTTCATCATTTCATGTGTGTGTGTGAGGTTTTCGGTGGTTCTCAGCTTGCTCGACTTGAGTCGCAAGCATAATAAATCTAGAAGCAAGTGTTGTGGTATGTTTCTCGAGGTGCGCCAAAAATATCAAAAATCTTGCGAAGATGATCCCTCATGACTGTGACAAATTTGATGTACATCATTTAGCGACTTTTCGCTGGTGAAAACGGAGCAATCTGCACCTAACTCACAGGGAGATAATTATGCATATATTCTAATGATGTTTATGGTGACCTGGTGAGAATCTCTGACGTGCAACAAATTCTCAGAGTCAGTATGACCAGATGGGTTTGGGACCGGATGTTAGTCGCTGATGTCGAGTGTTGCTACTTAGATGCTCTTGGATTTCACTCCCGCGTTGTTTCATCTCAGGCAGCTTCCCTCACCCATCCTCACCCCCTTTTCCCAGCTCCTCGCGGTGTCCTCAGATTGGCTCGGGAAATTACAAATTCGTAGGTGTGGAACTCCCAAATTCATGCGGAATCAAACATTGATGACAAAAGAGTCCATTGAAAACAAAAAAAACTCATATCTTCTCCACGTGTCTTGTCTCATCCCAAGTGCGCTGTTCATGCTGGCGATATTCTGTGCAGCTTTGGTCTTGATCCGGCCACTCCCCGTGAGTTCAGAGACCGTCGAAAAGACGCTTTGAATGGAGACGGCCGACGGCGTTGAACTGCGCTTCCTTGGTGGGCCAAAGACTGCTAGTTCTGATTGAAGCGGTGGTCAATTGAAAGCCGAAAAACAAAATCTGAAATCAACATCCTTGCGTCGGTTGAACCAGGAACGCCACGTTGACCCATTTTTCAGAAAACGTTCAGGCTCAATGAGGCCGTGAACATGTCATGGCACATGGACCGAAATCCGTTGATCCGTCGACCCCAGCAGGGGGAGCGCGCCAAAGAAGTGAAGGAGGAGAGTGGTTGATTGTCACGTCAAAGAGTGGAGCAGTCGTCGATGGCCATTGGCAATTTCGGAGGGTGCAGGCAGACAAGCTAGCGGTTTGGGATATTAAGCAGAGCTCTCCCTGAGAACAGCAGTCGATGGTGTGCACCAGCTTCGGGGGCCCGCAGGGGTTCGCGAGCGGGAAAGACATGTTGGGCAGTTTCTTTCCGGGGAGCATGGGATCTTGGGGAAGCAGTTTCGCGCAGAACGAGATGGGTGAACAGTGAAGAGCGTGGCTGAGGGCAAGTAGAGGGCACGTGAACCCCAACTTGGCTGTTCCAACGTGTACAGAACCTTGTGTTTTATGCTGTTTGCGTGTGATTGCTGCCTGCCCCCCTTTTCTGGGGTGCGTATTGAGCGCTAACATACCTTCAAGTTCACACCATGTATTCTTAAGCAAATTTCACCCACAATATGGTGGTGGTGCCGAGCATCTTGCACCCTTCTCAGACTTTATCTTGCGAGCGAGAAGCAGCGCTATTTATGCGTTAAAGTCAAAGTCATCTATGAACCTGAAGTAGAAGAGGAAAGCATCCTGTTGCCGACTACAAACATGTATATATACAACCGCGGCCCTTTGTGCCCCAACGTCCGAATGTGATGGTCACAAGGACCACTCGGACGTTTTGGAAGAAACCACGGGACAGGTCGGTTCAACGCTATAGATGGTAAATGATGGTACAATTCCGAGACGCCTAGACCAGCGGTGGGGGCTGTATGCCAACTAGTCCGAACTCGACGACTTCAGCCGCAAAGGGTCGATTGGGCCGGCGCCATGATTCCCAACTCTGCCTCCAGAATCACCAGCGATTTCAACCTCCAGCGATTTCAACGGATGTTACACCCTTGCTTCTGGCTAGTTTTGAACACACACCTGGTGCTTTTGGGGAAATGACTGTCATGCCGCCCCCAGCTGGTGCGGACGAGTCACAGCATGCGGACATCATAGCTCCCAAGCTGCTCCAGTCGCTCCTCAGTGGAGCAGCGCTCCGGTGGAGTCTTCGGTGGTTGACCAACAGCGACGGAGCCGACGGAGCCATGAAACGATTCCGTGGGTTGGCGCAGTGTGAGTCCCCTGAAACCAATGGAATGGTCAAATGGAGTTTTTCCCCCCACCCACCTGAGGATTTCAGTGTAGACAGTAATTTCAATGTATTCAAAAACACAACCTCTCGTCTATGGACGTGGGTTCCCCACTTGCCCAATTCCATCTCCAAGTGCGTTCTACACCATTTCGACCATCCCTTAGGACATCTTTTTTCGGACATAAAAAATGTGCATCTCCAAAAAATGGCCGCCAAACCTCTGGGAAGATAGGTGATGGTATATACAGCTTGGGAGTCCACATTTTTGGAGAAGCACGGATTCGGTCTGAAGCAAATGGATTCGGTTTCGATCAAGAATTCCTGCTCCGTCTTGCACTTCTCCCAGCCTTTGGACAGAATCCGCAAGAGCAGCAGCAAGGTCCTGGAGGCGGCGTTCGGAACGGACCCTCCCAGCACCTGTGCTTTTGTCGTTCGGTGGGCCACTGAATACGCATGGATTTTTCAGCGGATCTGAAGATATAGGAGCAAGGACGCTATTAGGTGGAGGCCATCGCAAGTTAGGTTGGAGGCCATAGGAGCAAGAACGCTACTAGGAACAAAGGGCCCCTTTAATCAGCCTTTGCGGCTGTAGAACACGACACCCTGCACTATGCAAAGAAACATGTTTTTTGCTGGAAATGACCTAATGTGCCCATACATCCTCGACCGTCCGACACTCCAGTGTATGTTAATATGGAGACCGGGAGACCCCCAACAAATAGGTTTGGTCTATTTCCCTTCTTCTAGGGGTCGAACCGGGAGGTCTCCCTATCCCATACAATGTGTGGGCCGGCCGTCCTGGACTCAGGCATGTTGCCCAGGTTGCTGCAGCGCTTTCCCAGTGCTGGGTAGCCTAGCTTCTCAAGAATGATCGCGGCAAAGAACACCAAGAACACACTGCCACAGATGACCTCGATTCGGCTTGTTTGCCGTCCTTCCTCATTCCTCCCACATCCGAGCTTTGGACTCAGTGGCAACCTGTAACCTGCCTGTCTCAAGAGCAACTGGTGGAGTTTTTGGGTAAGAACCTTCTGTCACGGTTTGTATGCACTTTGAGGTTGCTAACCAGGTATTCTGCTATTTCCGTAACTCGGAAGTTTCTCCTTTGGGTTTCCGGAATTTACCCTGCTTGGTTTTCAACCCTCCAGGAGGCGTCAAACACCCATGTTCACGGGAGAGGAATGTGCAATCTCAGTGTATCTGTCATGCCTTGATGTTCTATTTTTCTATTCGCAATGCTGTTCTATGTTTCTTGAATTGCGTTCTTCTCGTCCTGCATTTCTTCCTGTATGTGTTTTTGTCCTTCCTTCCTTCCTTCCTTCCTTGCTTCCTTCCTTCCTTCCTTCCTTCCTTCTTTCCTTTCTTCCGTCCTTAGCATTTGCAAATCCATCTATCTGTCTGTTTTCGTTTTCATCTATCCCTCTTTTTTCCTATGTTTTCTCCGTTCTGTCCTTTAATGTGTTATTTCCTTTTGTAGTTGATGTTTGTTTGTTCTTTCTAGCTATTTGGTTCTCTTTGGTTGCCTTTCTAATTTGTATCAGTTTTTTGCTTCGTTTCCGCCTGTTCTTTCCTATTTTAAGTTTTTGTGTCGCTGATCTCTTTATCTGCTTCCCTTTTTGCTATATATATATATAGATTTTTTCAAATCTCTCTTCCTATATTTTTTGTCTATCCCTCCTTTCCATTTGCGATTGTTAATTTTGTTTGCTCTTTTGTATTGTTCAACTTCGTGCAAGTCCCAGCGGCAAAGAACACGATGCACACGATTGCACCCAGAACCTCCAGAAAGGGAGTCGCCTCAGCGTCCTTCTGAATGCTACCCAAGCCAATGCCCAGCAAGGTCACCAAAATGCAATTCACCACCTCACGAAAAATGTGAGGCATGCCTGAGGTCTCTGCCTCATGTCAGTGCGTCTGCAACCGTTAATGAACAAAGAATGGGGTGGTACAGGTGTCTCTCTGTATGTATGTATGTATGTATGTATGTATGTATGTATGTATGTATGTATGTA